CTTCTTAAAGTAAGTAATCCATTTGTAAACTGCTGATTTATTTGGGGCATTGTTCCCATACACTTTTTGTAAAGCATCAGTGATTTTACCATTCTTCTATCCAAACTTCACTATAAATTTGATATTTGTTCTTGATTCAATTTTTCCAGGATTCTTGTTGCTCTGATAAGGTCTCTTTTCAAACTGATTCAAAATATATGAAGCAAACACTGACAGAATTGAAGGGGAAAATGTACAGTTCTACAATAATAGTTGCAAACTCTGGTACAGCACTTGCAATTATGGATAGATACATCTAGGTAGCATAGTGGTTATGAGCTGGGCTGCTAATCTCACGGTCAGCAGTTTGAAACTACCAGGGATTTTACAGACTAAGGTGAAGTTTTCTGCTTCTGTAAAGATTTACAGCCTCAGAAACCCTATCCAAGGTCGATATGAGCCAGAACCAACTCCACCGCACACCACCACCATCATCACCACCACATCTAGATAGAAGATCAACAAGAAAATAGAGGACTTGAAAAATGCTGTAAACTGATTAGACCTAACAGACATGTAGAGAACACTTCTTCCAACAACAGCAGAATACATGTTCTTCTTCGGTGCACATGAAACTTTATTCAGAGTAGACCATATGGTAGGGCCCCAAACAAGTCTTGATAAATTTAAGAAGACTGAAAGAATTTAGAGTATATTTTCCTTAACAGAATGAATACAGCTAGCAATCAATAATGAAAGGAATAGAAAATACTTAGAGGCAAATGAAAACACAACATACCAAAACATATGGATGCTGCAAAGACTTCAGAGGGAAATTTATAGATCTGGATGCCTACATTAAAATTTAGAGATGCAAAATGCTCAGAGGTAAATTTATAAATGTGAATGCCTACATTTAGAATGAAGAAAGATCTCTGTATATATGTACCTGTGCTGTAAATATATCTATTAATATAGTAGAGCATACAGGGGGCAAAGTTATGAAAATGTTTTTGATATAACCAAATACCTTGAGGGTGTGAGTTTCTGGGTCTGGGGTCTTAGGACCATAATATCAGGGGACACCAAGATCAATTGATATAACGTAGTCCACGAAGACAATGTTTACATTTTACTTTTGTGAGTAGCAACCTGGAATCTTAAAAGCTTCAGAGCAGCCATCTAAAGTGTGTCATAGGTCTCTGCTCATCTAGAGCAAATAAAAGTGAAGAAAATAAAAAATAGATGAAAACAATTAGTCCTGTGGACTAATGGGACCACACAGCCCTGAAACCAGAAGCACTAGATGGTGCTCACATACCACCACTGAAAGCTTTGAAAGGGATCACATTAGATAAGAGTGGGAGAAAAGTGTGGAACAAAACTCAAAATGATATAAAAGACTAGGCTTGTTGGTTGGCTATGGATAGAGTCTGGTGAATCCCCCAATACAATAGCCTTTAGTCACCCCTCTGACATAGAACTGAATTTACCCCTGACATAGAACTGAACTTACCCCGAAGGCTCAAAATTTTCAGCCAAACAATAGACAGTATGGTGAACTGTACTAGAGACAATTAACCATTTGAGATAAAAGAGCAGCATTTGTCCAGGGACAAAGTTCAGAAGGCAGGAAGGGTTAAGAAAGAAGGAACATTGGAAATTAAGAAACACAGCAAAGAAGTGGGATGTTACAAAGTGTTTCATTGTAGTGATTATAATCAATAACATCAAACATTTATAAATTGTTGAATGGAAAATTGGGTGCCCTATAAACCTTCACCAAATTCACAATAAAAAATTTTATAAAAAATGGAGGAAGATATCAAATTAGAAAAATAAGAGCAAGCCAAGTCCAGAACTACCAAATGGAAGGAAATAAAAGATTAGTGTGGCCATAAATGACATAGAGAAAAGAAAAACAATATAAATATTCTATTAATGCCAAAAGTGGTTCTTTGAAAAGCCCAACAAATTATATAAATCTTATGCTAGATTGAAAGAAAAAGAAGATGCAAATAGCTAAAGTTGAAAATTAAACTGGAGACATTATTACTGAACTTAGAGAGAGGAAAAGAGTTATAAAATACTTAGATAACTATGTTAAATAACCTATATGAAATGAACAAATTCTTACAAACACTCGAACTACCAAACTGATTCAAGAAGAAAGAAAAGCTCAACAGACTTGTAACAAGTAAGGAGATTGAATCAATAGAAATCTTCCAACAAAGAAGAGTCTAGGGTAGATGACTTCACTAGGGAATTTTACCAAACATTTAAATAATTAACAGTTGTTGTTGTTGTTGTTAGGTGCCATCAAGTTGGTACCGACTCTTAGCGACCCTATGCACAACAGAATGAAACACTGTCTGATCTGGGCCAACCTCACAATTGTTGCAACGTTTCAGCCCATTGATGCTGCCATTTTGCCAGTCCATCTTGCTGGAGGTCTTCCTCTTTTTCTCTGACCCTCCACCTTACCAAACATGATATCCTTCTCCAGTGACTGGTCCCTCCTGACAATATGTCTGAAGTATTGGAGTCAAAATTTGGCCATCTGGCCTCCAAGGAGCACTCTAGCTGCATTTCTTCCATCACAAATCTGTTTGTTCTTTTGGCAGCTCATGGCACTTTGAATATTCTCCTCCAACACCATAACTCAAAAGGATCAATTCTTCTATGGGCTTCCGTATTCACTGTCCAGCTTTCTCATGCATATGAAATTACTGAAAATACCATGACTTGGTTCAGGTGCACCTTAGTCTTCAAGTTGACATCTTTGCTTCAACACTTTAAAAAGGTCTTGTGCAGCAGATTTGCCTAATGCAATGTCATTTGATTTCTTGATTGCTGCTTCCATGAGTATTGACAGTTGATCCAAGAAGAATGAAGTCCTTGATAACTTCAATCTTTTCTCCATTGATAAGAAATGTTGTTTATTGGTCCAGTGGTGAGGATTTTTATTTTCTTTACATTGAGATGCAATCCATACCGAAGGCTGTGCTCTTTGATCTTCATCAGTAAGTATTTTAAGCCTTCTTCACTTTCAGCAAGCAAGGTTGTATCATCTGCATATCTCAGGTTGTTAATGAGTCTTCCTCTAGTCCTGATGCCATGTTTTTCTTCATATAACCCAGCTTCTCGGATTATTTGCTCAGCATACAGGTTGAATCAGTATGATGAAAGAATACAACCCTGTAGCATACCTTTCTTAATTTTAAACCATTCTGTGTTCCCATGTTCTGTTCGAACAACTGCCTCTTGGTCCGTGTACAGATTCCTCATGAGCACAATTAGTTGTTCCAGAATACTTATACTTTGCAATGTTGTCCATAGCTTGTCATGATCCACACAATTGAAAGCCTCTGCATAGTCAATAAAGTACAGGCAAACATCTTTCTGATATTCTCTGATTTCAGCCAAGATCCATCGGGCATCAGCAATGATATACCTCGTTCCACGTCCTCTTCTGAATCCAGGTTGAACCTCTGGAAGTTCTTTGTCACTGTATGGTTGCAGCCATGTCTATATTCTCTTTAGTAAAACTTGACTTGCAGGGGATATCAAAGATATTGTGTGATGATTTCTGCATTCCGTTGTAGCTCTTCTCAAATTCTTCCCAAAAATAAAATAGGAGGGAATGCTACCTAATTAATTTTATGAAGCCAGCCTTACCCTGATACCTAAGTGAAATAAAGACATCTCAAGAAAATTATAAACCCATATCCCATATATAGATGCAAAAATGCCTAACAAAATATTAGCAAAACAAATGCAATACCATATTAAAAGAATTACACAATCAAGAAGAAAAAGAATGTGATTAGTATGAAAGTCAGAATAGTGCTCACATCCAAAAAAAGGCAAAGGATTGTGATAGCCTCCCAGCATGTTGGTAGGAGGCTTGTGTAGTGTTCACACCAGGTTCTTTAAATGCTGGAACAGAGGCTGTAGCATTTATAGACATGAGACCACACATGGTAATTTCTTCTACAGAATCTTCTACTGCTGCCTGAGTTTTGTGTGGGCTGCTATTGTTGTGTGCCATCAAGTCAGTTCCAACTTACAGCAATCCTGTGTACAACAGAATGAAACACTGCCCAGTTCTACATCATCCATACACTCTTTGCTATGTTTGAGCCCATTTTTGCAGCGTGCATGAGCTATAAAGTGTTAAACTTTCCTTTGCCAAACCTTCTGACAGATGGATAGATCTTAAGTGGTAGCTTGGGAATTGTTTTATATGTTTCAAATAATTGAGCTGCATTTGTTTTATCCTTGGATAAGTTTCTCCCCTATATCTCTGCCTTTTTGATGTCTGAGAAATCTGAGACATTTCTTTGCTTAGAAAGTATAGCTTTGGGTCTTAAACATGTTCTCTAAAAGATCGTTTATTCTGGGCTGAAGTTCTGGGAAGAGACTCAAGAATTAGGTTCTTCTCCCAAACCATTTTATGAGAGATTCCTCTTCTGTGTTGTTCATGAACTAATTTGGTCTAGGAAGGAGCAGAGAGTAAATTTATGATACTCGCCACCTGCTGTGCAACCAGGCAAGTTTTCGCCAGGCTTCTGTGGCCCTTGGTAAAAAGACAGGTACTGTATTAGGCCCCCGATGTATGCATGCCAGAGTTGCTAATGGACTCTTTCTGCTTGAAATAAATTCAAGGGTAGTTCTTACATCATTACCTTTGGGGCCACTTATTTCTAGACCTAGGGTGGAAAATTCAGAGATGCTTCTTTTTCTTTTGATTCTGAATGTTCTTGAGTTAAACTATTCCCATGTCTCAGAAAACTGTTCTGAAATCATTTGATAATTTTGTCAGTGAAAAGACAGTTGCTGCTCAGTAATCATTTAGGCAGATATTTAAGAAAAAAATCCAATAAAAATGAAGTACCTGTCTCTTTAATTGGACTTGCCCATTGCCTGTTTTTAGTGAAGAATTTGCTGTTACTTTGCCCTTTACCCCCTGATATGAGAGTTCCTGGCCATTTTCAATACATCCGTTACTTTTCCTCCAGGCCTTGGAATACCTTTTCAAGTTCATCGTGCAGTCGCGGATCCTGTACTCACGAGCTACTTGTGGGATGGAGGAGGAACAGTTCCGGTCCAGCATCCAAGAACTTTTCCAGTCCATCCGGTTTGTGCTCAGTCTGGACAGCAGAAACTCAGAAACACTCCTTTTCACTCAGGTCTGTGAACTGCTGGGAAGCTTTGCTGTTAAATTCCTTGTCTGTCTTAGCAAGTAGTTTCTTTGTGCTTAGGCTTCCAGAGTCAGTGAAACTGCCAGGAGCCTATGTCTTGGGTCAGGGGTGACTTACAAGAAAATACCTGGTAGAACAAAATACTACCTTTACTTCAATGCCAGCTATTACCCAGCTGCCAATTACCCAACAGTGCAATGACTTTCTAATGGAAAAGGAGCACAACTTAGACCAAATGTGAGCCCTCTTAAGATCCAATTTATTTGGCTACCATACTATTTAGCTTTTTATGAATATCTTATTCATAGAAAATTTTTTGAGTGTATTGTGGATTTTCCTTTATTATTGTTGATATTGTTAAGTGCTGTCAAGTTGGTCCCAGCTCATAGCAACCCTGCATAGAGCTTCTGAGGAGCAGCTGGTAGCTTTGAGCCACCAACTTTGTGGTTCACAGTCCAGTGCTGATCCTATAGTGCCACACCAGGAATCCTCAATGTAGTAATTGAAGAAACTTAGGTTAGTATTTGTCCATTCTAGCAGTTCAGAGTGCAGTAGACTGACAAATAACTAGAAAGATTGGAATAACTAGAAAGCTAGGGCTAAGAATTAAAATTAGATTCTATTAGAAATATCAGTGTGAGACAGGAATTTGCTTCCTTATATTAAAAATACCTGGCTAGTCAACCTATTACCATTTCCATGCAGCCTTGCCCTAGAAAGAAACAAGGCTATTGTTTGTTTATACCCCACCACAAAGAAGTTATTTCCTTTTATAAAACAACTGTCAGCGTTTTGTCTAAGGGATTATACTTTGATTTTTTGAAGCCAGTTATACACAAAAAACTAAGGAAAAGCCAGACAGCCTCTACCATGTTCATTCATTCTGGTCTGCCAGCTCTTCCTTGGTGCAAGTATATTTACACTTTGTCTTATTTAAGATTAGAAAAGTCTCCTTTTTGTTTTCTGCTTGTTTCTGTATTGTCCCTTGATGACAATTGCATTGCCTATAGAGCTCTGAGCCTGGAGTAAAACTGGGATCTAGACTGATGAAAGAATAGGAGTACCTCAAGGTCACAAGGTACCTCTGTTAGGAAGGCTCCTTCCAAGGTCCCTTCTCCCAAGCACTTCAAACTACCTGTTTTCCTATACCTGCTCCTTCCTATCCCTAGCCCATTTATTCCTGCCAACAAGGGGCCCTCCCCTCAGCCAGCAAAGCAGGGCTTATTTTCTTGCTGATTCTGTTTACTAGAAAGCAGTCTTCTTGCTATCCCAGGGAGTTTACATCTGTAAATATAAGTCATGTAAGTTCCACACTCAGGCCTGACCTCAACATAAGGCTACAATGTGACAGGCCTGTTTTTCCATTGCCTGAGTTGTCACTTACTTTAGGCCAGTGTCTGCTGCTTGGTGAAGCAGTCGAGAAAAGCAGTTCCCTCCCACACCTGCCTCTTGAGAAAAATGTGCTCTTAACTACCTGTTTCAAAGTGACACTCCATTTCCCTGTAGACTGTAAATCTTGGGTGAATGGTGTAAGAGGATTGAGAAGTGAAAAAAAGCCTCCTTCAGGCTGCTCTCATTTAGATGAGAAAAGAACAAAAACCAGCCTATGTGTGTCAAGCATTCTACTGGTATTTTTACGAACCTAATTTTTTCTTCTTAACAATACCACAATATAAGTAACAGTATCATTTGTACTTTATGGATGACAAAATTGAGAATTAGGCAGTAACTTGCCCAAGGTTACATGGCAGGTAATTGGTAAAACTGGGATTTAAACTTACCTCCGTCTCATTCCAAAATACAATTTTTCCTCCTACGCTGCTCTGCTACCAAAGGCTGTGGAACCACTATGATGTCCTCAAGAGACCACAGAAGATCTCTGATCCTAGAAGAGAAGTTTACATACACACACTCACTCACCAGCTCTCTACCCACATCACTAAACACTCTAAGCCATCAACAGTCTTCAAAAGTTCATGACTAAAGATGCGCGGCATGCGATCGAACCCGCTCCGTGGTCCCGCCCAGCGCCGGACTCAGTGGCACAACTAGGAAAAGGTCAACATGGATTTCTGGTTCATTCATTTTCTTCTTGGCAGTGGTCTGATATGTGTCGATGCCTTAATGCTACCACAGTTTCGCCTTCAGTGCAAGGTACAAGATCAACAAAAGCATCAACAACAGCACCAATTAAAGAAGAGACCAAAACTTCAAATCCAAATTCATCAGTAACTTCTCTTTCTGTGGCCACAACATTCAGCCCAAATCTAACTCTGGGCCCCACCTTTGTCACCACTGTGAATTCTTCAGACTCTGACAATGGGACCGCACGAACAGCAAGCACCTATTCTAGAATTACTACAGTTTCACCAAATGGGACCTGGCTTCCAGGTAGCCCAGTCACAGATGTCGGAACAGATTCATGGGAGGGGAATTCCTGCACTGCAGCAACCACTCCAGAAACCTTTCCTCCTTCAGATGAGACGACAGTTATCGCAGTGATGGTGGCCCTGCCCTCTCTGCTGGTCATTGTGTTTATTATCATAGTTCTGTACATGTTAAGGTTTAAGATATACAAGCAAGCTGGGAGCCATTCCAATTCTTTCCGCTTATCTAATGGCCAAACAGTGGATGTGGAGGCCCAGAGTGTGCCACTTCTAGCCAGGTCCCCAAGTACCAACAGGAAGTACCCACCCCTGCCTGTGGACAAACTGGAGGAGGAAATTAACCGGAGAATGGCTGATGACAGTAAGCTCTTCAGAGAGGAATTCAATGTTCTTCCTGCTTGTCCTATCCAGGCCACCTGTGAGGCTGCCTCCAAGGAAAAAAACTGTTATGTGAACATCTTGCCTTATGACCACTCTAGAGTACACCTGACACCAGTTGAAGGTGTTCCAGATTCTGATTATATCAATGCTCCATTCATCAATGGCTACCAAGAAAAGAACAAATTCATTGCTGCACAAGGACCAAAAGAAGACACAGTGAATGATTTCTGGAGGATGATCTGGGAACAAAACACAGCCACAATAGTCATGGTGACCAGTCTGAAGGAGAGAAAAGAATGTAAGTGTGCCCAATACTGGCTAGACCAAGGCTGCTGGACCTATGGGAATATCCGTGTGTCAGTAGAAGATGTGACTGTCCTGGTAGACTACGCAGTCCGAAAGTTCTGCATCCAGCAGGTGGGCGACGTGACCAACAGAAAACCACAGCTCCTCATCACACAGTTCCACTTTACCAGCTGGCCAGACTTTGGGGTGCCTTTCACCCCTTTTGGCATGCTTAAGTTTCTCAAGAAGATGCAGTATGTCTTCATATACCAAGCCCTTCTGGAACATTATCTCTATGGGGATACAGAACTGGAAGTAACCTCTCTAGAAACCCACCTGCAGAAAATTTACAACAAAATCCCAGGGACCAGCAACAGTGGATTAGAGGAAGAGTTTAAGAAGTTAACGTCAATCAAAATCCAGAATGACAAGATGCGGAATGGAAACCTTCCAGGCAACATGAAGATCATTACAGATCATTCCATATGAATTCAACAGAGTGATCATTCCAGTAAAGAGAGGTGAGGAGAACACAGACTATGTGAACGCATCCTTCATTGATGGGTACCAGCAGAAGGACTCCTATATCGCCAGCCAGGGTCCCCTTCTTCACACAATTGAGGACTTTTGGTGAATGATCTGGGAGTGGAAATCCTGCTCCATTGTGATGCTCACAGAACTGGAGGAGAGAGGCCAGGAGACGTGTGCCCAGTACTGGCCATCGGATGGATTGGTGTCCTATGGAGACATCACAGCAGAGCTGAAGAAAGAGGAGGAATGTGAGAGCTATACTGTCCGAGACCTTCTGGTCACTAACACCAGGGAGAACAAGAGCCAGCAGATCCGGCAGTTCCACTTCCACGGCTGGCCTGAAGTGGACATCCCCAGTGATGGGAAGGGCATGATCAGCATCATTGCAGCTGTGCAAAAGCAGCAGCGGCAGTCAGGAAACCACCCCATCACCACTCCGGAAGGACGGGGACCTTCTGTGCCCTGAGCACAGTCCTGGAGCCGGTGAAGGCAGAGAGGATTTTGGATGTTTTCCAGACCCTCAAGAGCTTGCGGCTGCAGAGGCCATACATGGTCCAGACACTGGAACAGTATGAGTTCTGCTACAAGGTGGTACAGGAGTATATTGATGCATTCTCAGATTATGCCAACTTTAAGTAAGAGGCGACGAGACCGTGAACAGAAGAATTGACTTCTTCAATATTTTGTAATATTCTGTTTTGTTAATGTACCCAAAATTGTGTATATATCTTATAACTGTTTTAGAAATTGGTACATAGGCTTCTATTACCTATTAGGTGGAGATTTTATATGTAAATGTGTTAGCACTGATGGTCCTTTTTCCAATGTTTTATTGGGGAATTAAATAGTGTGATATTTTGGAATTAAAAAAAAAAAAAGCTCATGACTAAATCAATACATTGCCCATAATTTTGGCTTTATACTTAAGATTTCCAGGTATCACATGAAAATGAAATAATTTTTAAATTCTAAAATTTTATGATTGTACATAAGTGTGTCTATCCTGGGGAAGCGGTCAGGAATCAGAGAGCGAGGATTGTTGGCTATAAGGCTGTGAGTGCAGTCAGCCATTGCTGTTGGAAATGCTCAGTGCTCTCCAGTCAAGCTTTCTTTGAAAGGTTCCTGGCTTGAGTTTAGAACCAAACTTAGAAAGTTAAGGCCTTGATAATAGAGACAAACAGAATACCTAATCCATTTTCTGAGTGAAAACAGCTACAAACTGAGCAAGTTTCTCTGTATTCTCCCTTTCCTTATCAGCAAGGGCCTTAGCAAGATTCTCTTGTTTTGGTTTTGGTTCATCTTCCTTTATGTACCAGGAATGCTGCAGCACTGGACAATGTTGAGGCACAAGAGGAGCCCACCTGAGGCAAGGGTGCTACCGTGCTTTCTCAACCTGTGACTACATAGTATCACTGTCTGAGTATGTGAGATAGACACTCACCTAACTCTGAGCTAACCACAGCTTTACTTGCTTCCTTAGGCTGCACTCCTCAATTCCTTCCCAACCATTTTTGATGAGCTGCTGCAAATGTTCACCGTGCAGGAGGTAGCTGAGTTTGTGAGAGGGACACTGGGGAGCATGCCCAGCACTGTGCACATCGGGCAGTCGATGGATGTGGTAAAGCTGCAGTCCATTGCCAGGACTGTAGATAGTCGCCTATTTTCTTTCTCAGGTAAATCAAGTTGGAATGAGAATCAAACTTGCCTTTCTTCCTTTCCAGGTGATAACCAAGTAGCAATCAAAGGATTGGTGTTATCAACCATTATGCAAGATGTCAATAGTCCTAAAAAGAAGAGCTTTGGTAACTATATTAGAGAATGCAGCCAAGACCTGGATCTACTGTGTCATTACAATTTATTCCTAGAGACCCATACCCTAGGGAATGCTCACCGAGTGAGCTTCAGGTCCACACATTCAGCAAGATTCCAAGAATGGAACCTTTCCCATCCCTAAACAGGATGGGTGTTGTTGTTGTTGTTGTTGTTGTTGTTAAGTGCCGTCAAATCGATTCCGACCCATAGCAACCCTGTATAGGGTTTCCAAGAAACATCTGGTGAGCTTAAACCACTGACCTTGCAGATCAAATGGCTTTGCAGTCTGGCGCGTTAGCCCACAGCACCACACCAGGACTCTACAGGATGGGTAGGTAGAAGTAAAGGAAAGGGGAATAAGATAAAAAGATCCATCTCAGAGGGATAAGTATAAGACAAAAAATAGGACCCCAAGGACCATTGTGCTTTCTTGATTGCTTGTCTTAAAAGTCAGATAGATTATTCTTCCTCACTTCAGAGGATCCTCTAAGTGGTAGAGAGATAGACAGGGCATCCTCCTCATTCTCCAAAGGATCAGGACAACTTATCATATACCACCAGCAGCCCAGAAGTAAGGTTGAATGTCATCAAGTTTGACCTTGCAAAAGCACCAAATAACTCAATGGCCAAGTATTAAGATTAGTATAAACCTGATGCTTTAGTAAAAAGATCTTCGAGGACACAAGAATAAATCTGACACACTAGCAGGACAGTTATTATTTGAAGTTTTAGAATTTAAATTTTTAAGTTTGACTTTTAAAGTACAGGAAGAATAGTTTCTCAGTCTAGTGTTGCACACATGCATAATACGAAATACATGTTTCCTTTTAACTAACTCTTCCAGTGCTGACTGTGAAGCTGCCATCAAGAAAGTCAGCTTTTCTCCACCAGTAAGTGTTTATGGTAATCACTTTTCTTTTCTCCAGCTTCTGGCCTGAAGATTTTAACAGTTGTTTATAGGCATGGCTGGAGTCCTGGTATGGCGCTGTGGGTTAATACGGCAGACAGCAAAGCCATTTGAACTGCAAGGTCAGCGGTTCAAACTCACCAGCTGCTCCTTGGAAACCCTATACAGGGTTGCTGTGGGTTGGAATCAACTCGACAGCATTCAGCAACAACAACATAGAATGCCACTGAAGCAATCACACAAATGAAATCTCTGTGCAACTGCTTGAAGAAGATGCTGAATGTATTGAGAAGGGAGAGCAAAGTGTCCTCAGTGACATACTTCATTTCTAGTATTTATACATGTACTTGCTGCTTCACACCATCATTTAAGAAACATTGTTATTCGACTGTATGTGGCAGTGGAGCTATGTCATTGAATTTTGAGATGACAAAAGCACCAGCAGTTTTTCAATTACATCTTACTTTCATTGACATGCTCCAGATCACAGCATCTTCTTTGGAGTATGATGACAGGAGGGTCTTCAACGCAGGTTCATTTAACCAATATTTATATTCTCAGACATAACAGTTTGGTCTCTTATTTCAGCAGATTACAGAAACAAATTACTGTTTGTCTCTAATCAGTTATTGCTTGTTATGAATCATGTATTTTGGTCTACAAAATACAGTACAAAGTTTTCTTTTATTCAAGCAGCTTTTGAGCATAGATTAATTGAAATTCTATTTTATTTGAACATATTCTAAGTATCTGACAAGGTAGTCCCAAAATCTCTTCTATATCTTGCAATTTGTCTTTGACTGAAAAAGACTTTCATTATGAATTTTATCTGAGATGCTTATAAATCGTCAAATATGAACAATAAATTTAAAATGCCAGGACTTGTTTGTGTCACTGATAATCTAACTGATTCATGCTAGCCAGCTATGATGGAGCCTACAGGGTTATAACAATCACTAATCACATAGGAGTGCAGGACATCAGAAACATGTTTGTGCTTGTATTTCACTTGGTCTTCCCACCCCCCATGTAGTAAATGCAGAAGAGGTCATTAGCACACAATTTTACAGATAGGGAAAGAGTTAGATATGACCAAGGTCTTAGAATGAGTTAGTAAAGGAGCTTGAATGAAGATTCAGCCTTCCTGAACTCAGTATTCTCAAATAAATATGGTCACCTCCTGATGAAAATGCTGTCTGTTAACATAGGGGAAGAAAGAAAAGAAAAGAAAAACATTTGAATATGTACAGTGGAATTGGCAATGCAGGTGTCCAGATTATCAAGGGCTTATGACAACACAAGGTTACGCTTCACTACTATGGTCACACCATTCAATGATCTAACAAGTCTGAGGGGAAGAAGGTGTATCCTGTCAGGATACCTATTTGGGCCTGGAGAAGGATAGTTCATAATCCTTTTCAAGTCTGCAAGCTTAGTTAGTATTGTTCATGCAAGATATGCCATTTAAGTAGAACTTCACTGTAAGCTGTTTCATTTTGGAATCTAATTATTCAAGATATTTCATTTGGTGGCATCCTCCTGATATTCACCTTACACAAAATGCCATGGGTACTAGTAAAACTTGAAATGAGAAAGAAGGGAGGAAAGGCAGGAAAACAGTACTGTAGAATTGCATAATCTCCAGGCAAAGGGCTAGAGGCCATTGTATAAGAAGAGGGTGTCCTGTATCTTACCTCTAGTTCTAATTCCACCTGCTTTGAGACCAGCAAAATCTCACAGAGTACCACTGGATTCCAACAGCAGCTCGTTCTCCTCTAAAGTTCATCTTTTTACTTTTGTGTTTTCTTTCATAGAATCCCGCCGCATCCTGCTTCCTGTGGTTCTCCATCACATTCACCTTCACCTGAGACAGCAGAAAGAGCTGTTAATCTGCTCAGGGATTCTAGGCAGCATCTTCTCCATCATCAAGACCAGCTCTCTGGTAGTGACCGCACACCCACTGCTCCTGGCTCAGTTCCACCCTAGTCCTGTGTTACTCTAGCCAGAGGCAAACCAACAAAGATCACTTTGTACACTTCTCAACCTGAGATGCTTTCCTTGTGACAGTAATGAATGGAGACCTGTCAATATGACACAGGCTTGCTAGTTTTAAAAGTTGCACTACCACACATCCACCCAGGAACAAGTTCTCTGTAATACTAGAAAGCCCATCCCTGCCTATGCTCCATTCCTAGCAAAAGAATTTTAATTGTGGGTTCCTGAGAGTTTTCTGAGGATACTCAGGCATGGTCACAGGGAGGTAGACCCAAGCTGGGAGGCAGCTTGCTCATCCAGGCTTTCCTGTCAGCTTCTTGACTGCTTGATTCTACCCATGTGACATCCCCACACTGTGCCAGGTGAAGTCAGGATGAGACAAATGTACATATGAGCTTTGATCACCTGGGGTTGTAGAATTGTACTTTAGGATTGAGGTTTCAATTGACAATGCTTTTGTTAATTTCTTTTTTTAAAAAATCTGTGGTGGGAGAATAGGGAGGGAGGGCAGCAGGAAAGACTTATATTGGGCAAAAATAAAGGCAGGCATTTATTTTAATGATATATATTTTATATATTTATGATGATAAAATAAATACAAATTTCTTAGAAATTTTGGAAGCTATAAAAAAGTATAAAGATGTTAAGAACTCCCAGAATATGAAGATTTTGTTGTTGTTGTTGTTATACTAACTTATGAAGCTGAGATAAGTTGTTATGCTGTGCATAAGGTCGCTATGGGTCAGTCCCCACCTGATGGCACCTAACAACAACAACAACAAGGTTCTTGGAGGACAAAATTTCAAGAATAAAATGAAGGACAGAGGCCAGGTAATAAGTTGGTAAGAGACTAAGTTATCCATGTGGAGCAGGAGAGGTATCAAAGAGAAAGAGTAGATTTCATTAGGGAATAGAATACTCTAGGTGTCCAGACTTAAGGTACCATCTGGTGCCAGGGACTCAGGCACAGTGTGACCGTAATGATGGTGATAGTATCCCTATCATTTGCTCTTGACTCCAGCCAAGGTTTGGCAGTTCTTCTCTCACCATGCCCCAGAGAGGGAAAATTACCTTAATTACAGTCTGCTAATAGCTTAAGGCCAGACCTGAGGGTGTGGAAGTCTTTATTGGTAAAGGAAATAGAAAACTGAAGCAAAAAAAGAAGGAAGGACTGGAAAAAATGCTGAACAGGTAAAAAACAAAAACAAAAAAACCTTAAGGTCTGGTTATATTTGTATTGTGGCAATGGAGAAGAGTCACGTGCAATTAGTTGCTTACTACTCAGAGACTTCACAGGTATTGTTAAGGACACTCAACAAATAAAAAAGACGACTCTGGACCCAGGTATATATCATCCAAGAACTGCTCAAAACCTTCAAGTGAAATTAGGCAGAGTATAATCATATTGAATGGATGGGTAGAGGCTGGATGAGACTGATGCTCTTTGAAAGCAGAGATAGTTTCTGTTTTCACCACTCTGTATACTCATGTTCTCAAACAGTGACTACAACATGGCAGATGCTAAAGGGAAGGAAGCAGGGAAGACATTTGGAGGACCTGTAATAGTAGTACAAAGAAGGAGCTCTGGTGGTTTAGTGGGCTAAGCATTGAACTGCTAACTGCAGTGTCAGCAGTTTGAATCTACCAGCCGCTCCTCAGTGAGGGAAAGATGAGGCTTTCTGCTCTGTTAAAGTTTTACAGCCTCAGAAACCCTATACATGGTCGCTGTGATTCAAAACTGACTCGACAGCATACAACCACGAACAACCAATAGTATAAAGAGGCTGGAGAAAGGACAATGGAAATATCTTCGTAAAATCATTAAAATCAAACAACAGGATTTGAGCTTGGATAAGTGGAGAGGTATATAAAAGGTAGCATAGACTCTAAATTCAGAGTTTGGTGGCTGGGAATCAGCCCTTAGTGATGATCTGTTGTTTTTGTGAGGCTGGCAGAGAAAGGAAGACTAAAAACCAGAGTCCTACAGGTGGACCAGGGAGCATGAACCAGAGAATTGGGCAGCTAGAAATGGAATCAGAACATATCTGGACAGCAGTCGTAACTGGAAAAAACTGGGACCACCCAACCTGAGGAGGAAACAGAGTTCTCAGAAAATCCAACAGGATTCTGAGTGGATTAACAATAGTGAAGTTGCTGCCACCACAACCTATGGGTTGAGTACTTCACCATTTCTCAATGTTAGTCAGGCAATGTCATGCTTTCTCCTGACTATTCCAGGGAAATCAAAGTACTCCTTTAACTCTTTACTTCTGCCCTGTACAATGAAATTAATGTATTCTGCATGAGATTCAGGGTGGTACTGACTTGAAGGTAAGGTTCTAGCCACCTTGCCAAGACAACAGTAGCAGGTGTGTCTTACCTCTTCTTAGTGTGATTGTCCTGGGTCTCTTGACACTGCATGCTAAGGAGGCTGAGAGCTCAGAGTTGGGAATCCAGCCAGAAGAACACTCCTGATCTGGCTGACTTAGTAAGTGCTGCCAGCAGCACATTGGCCCAGCCTGGTGCTAACAGTGTGCTCTCTCACTGCTCAATTCAGGAGACAGATGTCATGGAAGAGGTGGAAATGATGGTGGAGAGCCTCCTAGACGTGCTCTTGCAGACTCTGCTCACCATCATGAGCAAATCGCACGCTCAGGAGGCGGTAAGAGGGCAGCGATGCCCGCAGTGCACAGCTGAGATCACTGTTAGTAACTAACATTCAGGTTTTCTTGCCTTCTTTTCTAACCTGGGGCTCTTCCACCACCCCCCCCCCCCCCTCCCCCCCCCCCCCCCCTATTTATCTCAACGTCCCCTCCTGCATGGCTGTCAGCATGCTGCCTTCCTCCCTTCTCAAGTCTGACTCTCCTCTCCACTCTGAAACCTTTAGGTTTACTCTCACACTAAATTACTTTAGGGCAGATTCAGAGACTATTTTTTGCCTTAGTTTCCTGGGCACGATTTCAGTTGGCATTTGGTTTTGAGCCAAGTCATTTTCTACTATGTGGAATGAAGTAGGGATGTGTTTCCTGTACAGTGTGCAGTGAGAGACTAAAGGTGAGAAGGAGACTACTTCTAGGCTATTTTCCTAAATGATGTACAAGACAGAATGATTCCCTCAGAACTTGTTTAGTTTCTAGTGTTAGTATCTAAATTCCTAGCATTAGGGAAGATAGTAGGCATTAACTGAATAATGGAGTGTGTATCTAGTTAGTAGAGAAACAGACTGGGAAAGCTTCTCAGGAGGGGCAGAGAGGCTACGCCCTGAGCCCCTAGTGCCCCTACTCCCATACAAACAGTAGACTCAGTTCTGAGGTTTGTAACATGACAAACATTTTGTGTGGAATCCTCCAGTTGGCAGATGGGAGATTACAATGATCTCTTTGAAGAGAACCCTGTGTGGGAGCAAGTTAGGCTCCACCATACTAGGATGAGCAGGACAGTACAGGGGCAGGCACCAGTTCTGCAGCACTGGGGCTTGGAAAGAATGTCAGCTTCTTTGTTGTTATAGTTGTTGTCAAGTGCCATCAAGTCGAATCTGACTCATAATGACCCTGTATAAGGTTTCCAAGGAATGGCTGGTAGGTTTGAACCACCGACCTTGTGGCTCAAACTGACCTTGCAGTCCAGTGCATTATCCTGCAGCACCACCCTGATTGAGAATAGTCTTGCTGCAGGTGAAAACATATGCATCCTGATAGATCTTGATAACCCATCCTTCTACCAAACACCTTCTCATAGTGCTTGCAATGGGTCATACCCTGCTTTAAGCAGTTTATAAATAATAACTCATTTAGCAATACTAATGAAGTCACTCATATAGATTACAATGGGATGATAATAGCTACAATTTATCAAATACTTCTTTGTGTGCTTCACTGTATAATATTTATTAACTCATCTGCTCCTCAAGATAAATCTATGAATTATGGCTTGTTATGTGTATTTTTCATACAAAACTAGCATGTATATAGGGTGCTTCAAAAAGTTCATGGAAAGTGGAATTAAAAGTTGATGAATTTTTCCACCAATTATTTGAAGCCCCGTCATATATACAGTGGTTCTGACTTGGGCTACTAATCTCACGGTCAGCAGTTTGAAACTATCAGTGGTTCTGCAGAAGAAAGATGAGGCTTTCTGCTCCTATAAAGATTTACAGCCTCAGAAACCCTATACAGGGTTACTATGAGTCGATTCCAACTCCATGGCACACTACCATCACCATATATGTGTGAAGTCCTGGTGTGGTGCTGCGGGTTAAGACGCTGGACTGCAAGGTCAGTTTGAACTGCAAAGTCAGCAGTTCAAGCTCACCAGCTGCTCCTTGGAAACCCTATACAGTGTCATTATGAGCCAGAACTGACTCAACAGCACTTAACAACAACAACAATAAAGGATTTAAGGAACCCTGGTGGCATAGTGGTTAAGAGCTCTGTTACTAAACGAAAGATGGATGATTCAAACCCACCGGTGGCTCATGTGTCAGCTTCTGTAAAGACTGTAGCCTTGGAAACCCTATGGGGCAGTTCTACTCTGTCCTCCAGGGTCACTGTGTGTCAAAACAAACGCAATGATAATGCATTTGGTTGGTTGAGTTTTTTTTTAGAAAGGATTTGAAAGACTAAAACCCTCTTATCAAATTCCCATGAGTTAAAACATTTTAAATTTATCCAAGTGAACCAATTTTCCTCTCTCCCTTCTGAGAAGGCACCCTACTGTTAGGAGTCCATGTTTTGTCTGCCTCATTCTAAAAGTTGCTTTAAGATAATGAAAGTCTCCTATATACCCCAGTTGGAACTTGAAGAATTTTTATAAAGACTAATTTTTATTCTTAAATTTCTGCTTTTCTTAAAGTCCATAGCTTGCCTTCTCATAAAGGTCATTCTGACTCCTCTGCTTTCCAGAGTCATGCTGATACATGCTAATCCAGCCTAGTAACCCCAAGTATGTTCTGGGAAGTCCCTAAGGAGGTTCTTATAGAAGGGCTGCTTGATATGCAGGAGAGGCAGGGTCCAAAGTCTGTCCAGACAAAGCCAAGTTCTTTATTTCAAGTAACCCCTGTCATTACTGAACCAGAACTTTCCAAGGATAAAAATTAAATTATCTCTTTCTCATTGTATAGTAGTTCTTTGGTGTAGATTAAGGTTTTTTAATGACCCCACACTATAGGGATTTTATTATAAATCTCAGTCCACCAGGCTTTCTTTGGCTGAAAAGAAAGCTTATTCAGGGTCAGAGTTGTCACCTTCCTTCCACGATCATTGGGGCCATCTCAGACCCTCCCTTCTCTCCTTGCCCTCTATGGTTTGGGAAGGGACACAGCCCTTGTGATTAGCTGTGCTAAGTGTTTTTTGGGTTGGTCCCCAGGGCGAGTATGTGTCCTGCCTTCTCTCGCTGCTCCGCCAGATGTGTGACACCCATTATCAGCACCTCCTGGACAACTTCCAGAGCAAAGATGAACTTAAGGTAGGCAGCAGAGTACTGGCTTTTGACCTAGGCAAGGATGAGTGTGACTAACACTACACAGAGGCTTTTCTTCTGCTAGGGGAACAAGTGCAAGTGGCCAGCCCCACTTTACAGCTAAGTGTGTGGCCACTGGACACTGCAAGCCAACAGTGTCCCCACATAGTAGCACTCACAAGCTCTCCCTTACTGCTAGCAGCCCTTTGGTCACGTGTCACTGTGAGAAATTACTCTGAGCCACTTGGATAATCAACAAACTAAGACGCCTTCATTTTGTATGAACTTGACAGTTGCTGTATATTTTACCCTTGCAAGCCATTATTCACTGTTTAATAACACTAATAATAATGCTGACTACTTTTCTTCATTATAATGTGAACACTGCCCATTGGCCCCTAGACTCTGGATCCAGAGCCCTGAGAGATAGAAAGTGGCAAAAAATGGGCCTGTGATTCACATAGTAGGAGCACATTGCCCGAGCTGACTGACAGGCTCCTGAGGCTTGTGTCATTGCATTTGACTATGCTGCTCACTTCATCTGTGGGCAAAGGGGCTATTTTAACCTTTAAGTCTGTGCTCTGCTTCCATTCAGAGCTAAGCCACTTGTCTTTTGTAGTGATAGATTCCGCTGGTTTTCATTTGTGTGATTTACAGTAATCCTATGTGTCAGTCAAAATGTATGAGCTATCCCTTTGTAGTTTCTGTTCCTTCCTGCCTTTTTCTAGACATGGGTCTCTATAGATTAGTATCATTGACTTGTTACAGTAATTAGTATCATTAACTTGTTACAGTCTTCCAACTTGGGGGGACGAATCTTGACAACGCTTGAAATGAACCAAAAGATAGCCAGATTCAGAACCTGCATTTGGGTCAAGTAGGGCATGAGCCAGGACGCAGAACCTGAAAGTCCTAATTTGACTGCTCTAGATTATTTTTAAAGAGTAGTTAAAAATGATCATTGGTAGTGTTGTGCTTATGAGTCAGACTGCTAACTTCAAGGTCAGCAGTTCAAAACTACCAGCCGTTCTGCAAGAGAAAGATGAGGCTTTCTGTTCCTGTAAAGATTTACAGCCTCAGAAACCCTATGCAGGGTCCCTATGAGTCGGAACCGACTCCACGGCACACTACCACCACTGTCACTACCAGATCATTTTTATCTTGTGCATGTGTTAGCTAACTGATCCTAAGTCAGAAACTCAGGCTGGTATCATCTCTTATGGTTTAATTACATGTTTATTTTTTTCACAGCAATATATGCACATAATTTTAAAAGCCAAATTGTATTACAAAGTTTTGCTGGCTTACCCAAGTAATGCCTACTTCTTACTCCAGAAAGGAAGCCACTTTCAACTCTTTTACTCTTCTTAAGGAAGCTTCTGTTGCTATTTTCTACATTTAAATCCTTATTTATTATCTGTATTATTCTTCCCAAAGAAAATGAGAATGGGTCTCCTAAATCACACATAAGCTCTTCCTTCCAGTATTGCTTTTTGCACTGGACCCCAAAGTCAGTTTGAACCACAATGTCAGTGGTTCAAGCTCACCAGTCGCTCCCACACTATGGGTCAAAACAGAGTCAATGGCACTTAACAACAACATACATAACAAAATTGACCATTTTTGAGTATACAATTCAGTGGCATTCAGTACAGTCATAATATTGTGTAATAATCATGAATGTCTATTTCCAGATTTTATTTTATCATACCAAACTGTATACCATTAAACAATAACTCCTCACTCGACTATTTCCCCAGCCCATGGTAACCTCTGTTCTGCTTTCTGTCTCTAAGAATTTGCCTATTCTAGGCACATCATCAAGTGTTATCATGTAGTATTTGTCCTTTTGTGTCTGGCTAACTTCACTTAGTATAATATCTTCAGGGTTCATCCATGTTACAGCATGTATCAGAACTTACTCCTTCTATGGTTGTATAAAATGTCATTGTATGCATACCATATTTTGTGTATTGTCTCATCAATACACCTAGACATTTGGGCTGTTTTCACCTTTTTCTATGAACATTGGTGTAACAGTATCTGAGTCCTTGGTTTTAATTCTTTGAGGTATACACCAAAGAGTGGAATTAGTGAACCCTAAGGTAATTTGTGCCTAACTTTTTTTGAGGAACCACCAAATTGTTTTCCACAATAGATGCACCATTTTACATTCCCACCAGCAACAGACAAAGGTTCCAATTTCTACACATCCTTACCAACACTTGTTATTTTCCATTTTTTTTTTTATGATAACCATCCTAGTAGCTGTGAAATTGTATATCATTGTGGTTTTGATTCCATTTCCTTAATAAATTATGGAGGAGTGAAATGGGTAAAGTGTTTGGCTCCAAACTGAAAGGCTGACAATTCGAACCCATCTAGCAACTCTGCAGGAGAAAGATTTGATGATCTGTTCCTAGGAAGATAACAGCCTAGAAAACCCTAGGGAGCAGGGCTACTCTGTCACATGGGATCACCTGAGTCTGAATCAACTCAGGCATACAACAAGAAGCAATGACTAATGTTGAGCATCTTTTCCTGTGTTTACTGGTCATCTACATATCTTCTTTGGTGAGATGTCTATTCAAGTCCTTTACACATTATTTTTAGAAGTTTTTTTGGTGAGTTGAGTGATAGTTTATAGGGCAGGCCATTAGTTTTGCACTCAACAAATCATATTTTGTTTCATTGCAATGATGACAATCCCCTCCCAGCACCACTGGTTAACAGTATGTACCTCGACCCCCCCTTTTAGGTGTACACAAACATACAGGAAATATATATTCATTTAAATGTCCATTTTGCAAGCCAGCCACCTATCTTCAGGCACACAGCCTTTTTCATTCCATGGGTCTAGAGTCCTCAGCTGCTCTATCTCTCTATGCCATCTCTCCTTCCATCTCTGGTATTGCCCTTTTTCTGGATAGGATCCCACACTCCACTCATGCTCCTCCTCTTGATGGTCCCAGGGTCCTCTATTCCAGGAATGAAAGATTAACTACAACCCCCTTTTTGTTTCATATCTTCTACATTTACAGTTGTGACAATCACAATGAATCATATTAACAATTACTCATTATTGAATCCAAAGAATCCTATCCCCATTCTCCCCCAGCCCCTTTCACCAGACCCATCTGGAAAAGAAGAAAACTATTCAGTGGGGATTCTACCTTACTCACCTCATACTGATACTAAACACCCTCTTGAAAGCTTGTAAGCCAGCCACTCTGTGCCTTTATAGCCCTCCATTTTTTGTTAGCCAATATCTAAGTTTCCCATCCCTATAAACCCTTTGTACTGAGGGGACAGACTTGATCCTTGATATGAAGAATCCCTCCCTTTCAGTTGGAATTTTGAGCAATTACATCCATAAGCAAAGGTCTGGTTCATCAAATTGTAGCAATTTACGCTTGCTTCCTGCGGCAAACTTCTTTATTTTTCTCTGGTTGAGTTCTGAACAGCAAGCCATCCAAGCTGTGGTACCATATGCAGGTTTGGAGACTCTTGTACATCTGTCCTCTACTTCAGACCTGCTGGCTCTCAATTTTAGCCCCCAGTGGTTAGGTCAGTGTCCATGTGATCAGAAGTTCACAAGTCTCCCTAAACTTCAGACCAGCCATTCCTTCCTTTTATCTCTCTTATCTCAAGGTCATTGGGTGTCTATGGAACATGGCTGAACTCATCCCATGTCTTCATTGCTTCATAGCCCCCATTTTCACTCACAAGTAGACCAGGGCAGTCACCAGTGGGCTTATAAGCCTGCTCATGTGTTCCCTTTGAGTTTCAGTCATGGAAGGGGGTTTACCCTGATGGGCTGACTTTTCTTGCCTTGATGGCTCCCAGGTGAACAGCTTGCTTGATCTTGCCTTTACCAATTTTTTAATTGGGTTGTTTGTCTTTTTGTTGTTGAGTTGTAAAAGTTCTTTATATATTCTGGATATTAAACCCTTATCAGATATGTGATAACCAACTATTCTTCCATTTTATAGGTTGTCTCTTCCGTTTGTTCAAATTTTGATGAAGTTCATATTTTTGGTGTCAAAGCTAAGAATCTGTTGTCTAAAACTAGGTTTTGAAGCATTACCCCAATGCTTTCTTCCAAGAGTTATATAGTTTTAGTTTTTACATTTATGCCCTTGATCTGGTTTTAGTTGGTTTTTGTATTTGGTGTGAAATATTTGTATAGCTCTGTTCTTTTTCGTATGGATATTCACTTGTCTCACTACTACTTACTATAGAGACATTCCCCATTGAATGCACTTAGCACCCATGTTGAAAGTCAAATGACCATAGATACATGAGTGCATTTCTTGAATATCAATTCTAGTGCATTGGTCTGTACATCTGTTCTTATACCATTTCGAATAAATTTTCCATAGACTTTAATATAAATTGTTCATCAACATTTTATTTATTATAGCTGCTAGGTTAAGTACTCTGATGAGCTAACAACTATAGTATGAGTACATTTTCTGTCTTGTAAAACTTTATATTTTTCCTTGAATTATTTTTATGTTCTACTTTTTTATTATTTCAGTTTATTTTCTTCAAATCTAAGTAGGATTTCCTACTTTAACTGTCATGTCTATAATTTACCTCTTCTTACTTTACAAATGGCCAAATCTATTAAATACTATCACACACACAGAAATTTCCTTCATGGACTGTCACTTCTCAGGTCAATTTCCAGAACATGTTTTTTCCTTCTTTCTGAGAATTCCAGGAATATCTTCTTTCCACAGTTGGATCTCTTGATTCCTGGATTTCAAGTATTTTTGTTGTTGTCGTTTTATTCCATTTCACTAGAAAAAAAATTACTAGTAACTTCCTGAGAAAAAGGCCATATAGAAATAAACACTTGTATTTATGGTCAATTGTATTTTTGACAATGGTGCCAAGATAATGAGTAAAGAAATGTTTTTCAACAAATGATGCTGGAACATCTTGATTTACACATTCAAAATAATAGAATTGCATTCTTAATTCACACCATATATAAGCAT